CTGACTTGTCCACTGCTCAGAGCTTTTTTGAAGTTCAGAACTATAGTGATATACAAAAGGGACTTTTAAAAGTTGGTGGAAAAGTGGAATGGAAAGATTAGGGGCTTTGTTCTCATTCTTTGAAGCCCCTTTGTATGTTGAAATAGCTTTGAACACTGGACTCCCTGCACAGGTATGATGTTAGTATAGTCTGGGACAATGCTTCAGAATTACTAATAGGCTTTTAATTCACAGATCATTGAACCCAATTCCTAGGGCTTCTGATTCAGTATATCCAGGGTCAGCCTGAGAATCTGCACTGCCATCAAGTTCCCAGGGAATGCTGAGGGTGCTGATCCAGGACCTGGCTTTGACACCCACTGATCTGGGGGGTCAACAGCATCTGCCTAAGTCCTTCACTGAAAGCTGCTGGGTTGAATCTGAGGGTACCTGATCTGATCTTTAGAATTGACCTGGGCCTAGCTTCTCACTGTTAATGAAACCCCAAAATTCTTTCAGACAATTAATAATGAACTCTACATCTTCAAAGTGCCAGATACCAAGAGTATATCCCTGAACCAAACAGATCCAAGAGCAAATGGACAAAATGATGGCCGAAGACAGTAAGTGCCATAAAGGATCAATAGCAGGATAGTGAGATAGATATAAGAGCGTCCAAGGGAAGGACGGTTCTTCACCGAGTGGTCAGGGAAGTCCCCTCTAATGAATTAAAATGTAAGCTTAAGTCTCAATGAACTACAGAAGCAGACCTACTGAGATGAGGCAAGAGCACTCTAGACAGAGAGAACAGGAAGTGCAAAGGCTAGGAGGCAGACACAAGCAAGGTTAGTAGGGCTGGACTATGAATAAGAAGCAAAGTGATATGGGATAGGGTCAGAGAAGATTGAGTCTTGCAGGCCATGGGGAGCTGGGATTATAAATTAAATCTGTAGTATAATATCCAAAAAAACAAAAACCCAGAGCTGTTTCCTTCAAGACTCATAACAACCTCTTTGAATCAAAGTAGAACTGCTCCGGTTTGTCTGTTTGTTTTTTATTAATCATTTTACTGGGAGTTCTTATAGATATTATAATAATCCATGATTCAATTAGATCAAGCATAATTGTACAATTGCTGCCACCATAGTTTTCAAAACATTTTTTTTCTTCTTGAACTCCTTGATATCAGCTCCCCTTTATCCCCCACTCCCTGCCCCTACCCCGCCCCCTATCCCTTGTTATTTTATATATATATATAAATATATATATATATACACATATACACACACACACATATATTTTGCCAGTTTTCTTGGTTATAATCTTTACAAAAGCAGATCACTAGACCTTTCTTCCAGGGTGCCACTGGGAGGGTTTGAACAAGCAACATTTAGTTTAGCAGTCAAGCACAAAACATTTGCCTATAATCTGTAGACCAATAGGACATCCCCACACAGAAGGGTCACTAGGAAGGGATGAGTCAACCAGGGCACAGTCTAGCACCAATAAAACACACAATATTCCCCTGGTTCTTTGAGGCTTCATTACACACACACACACACACACACACACACAATCATGACCCCAGTCCTGCCTTTCAGTTCTGGCTATGTACATTGGTACAGATAAGAGTTCACAGCACACAGAACCCAGGTCAGATAAACCCCTCAGGAACAGAAATGAGAGTAGCAATACCAAGTGGGTAGGGCAAAAGATGGGGGGAGGAGAGGTGGAAGGGGCAAACAATAGAAACTCGGGTGACGGGAGACAGCCGTTGGTGTAAGATATGAAAACAATAATAATCTATAATTTATCAAGGAGTCATGAGGGTGAAGGGTAGGAAGGGAGGGGAAAACAGAGGAGCTGATAGCCAGGGCTCAAATAGAAAGTAAATGTTTTTTAAATGATGATGACAACATATGTACTAATAAGCTCTAATTAGTACTAATATGCTCTACTTAGTACTAATATGTACTAATATTCCATACAATTGATGTATGGAATGTTATAAGAGCTGTAAGAGCCCCCAATAAAATGATTTTTTAAAATTTTGCCTATAGTATGTTAATAGACTAGTATCTCTCAAACTTTAATGTGCATGCAAATCACCTGAGTAAGGACTCTGTTAAAAGCGCAGATCATGACTCATGAGATCTGAGCTGGGCCTCGGGTGCTGCATTTCGAACAAGCTCCAGACTCTTCTGCGGCGGGTCTCCGAAGCAAGCTTTACGTAGCGAGTGCATAGCAGGAAAGGCTAGGAACTCCACCGTGGGGGGATTCTGTGGAGGCATTTTTGGGTCGGTGTTTGACTGCTGACCCCATCGCTGGCGATCTTAGCCCATTATCTGCACCACAGGAAAAGGATGAGGCTACCTGCTCCCGAAAACCCTATTATAGGGTGGCCATGAGTGAGAACTGACTTGATAGCCGTGGGCTCTGCTTTCATTAGGGAAAAATGCGCCGTTCCCTGGCAGCGGCATTCAGTGAAGGGCAAGAGAGCCCGAGAGGGGGAAAAGAGCAAAATATGATGTCAGGGAATGTGGACACTAAACATTGGATTGAAGGAGGATCTATGAGTTACAGTCTCTTGAGGGAAACTCCCCCAAAAAAAAAAAAAAGAAAGAAAGTGACTGCCATGGGGTCAGTTCTGACTCCCAGCGAGGCTATAGGACAGGATACAACTGCCCTATGCGTTTCTGAGACTGTAACCCATTAAGGGAGTAGAACAGCCCACCTTTGTTCCTTCGGAGCGGCTGGTAGTTTCAAAGTGCTCACCTCTTGGCTAGCAGCTCAGCGCAGTCCCCTCCTGTCCTCCGGTGTCGCTGCTGAGTCACAGACGATTCCTCAGCAGTGCGTGCGTGCGTGCGTGCGTGTGTGAGTGTGATGCAGGCCCCCGGCAGCACAATAGTTAAGAGCTAACTGAAAGGCTGGTAGATTGAACCCCACCCCCACCCACTCCACAGGAGAACAGACTGGCAATCGACTCCCATCAGGATTGTGAGTAGATTCCAACTCATAGCAACCCATAACGATGGTTGCTGGTGCTTGCTTCGGGAGCACCTATACTAAAATTGGGAATGATACAGAGATTAGCATGGCCCCTGTGCATGGCTGACATGCAAATTCTTGAAGCAAAAAAAAAAAATAGGATGGTGGTTGAGGTAGTTAGTTTATTGTGACAACCTGGCCATTAAACACAGGTGGGGTTAATTGAAGGGCAGAGGGATACATGGTTCGGTGAGCCTCACCTTTCAAGTTCTCGGGTCTCTTGTTTGTGATGGTCGCACCAGGGTGCAGCTGCCTTAGCCAGTTCCCTGCTTCAGCTAGCAAGGCTCACTTCCTGCAAGAGATCCCCAAGGAGAACCACATGGACCTACCCTGATGCAGCCCTGCATGCTGGAGCAGCTGTGTGGAGACCCCTGCCAACGGCTGAGATGCTTACACGTTCACTGATTCGGCTTTCCTCCTGCAGTTGGCACCATTGCATCTGTTTTGTGAGATGGAGGAAGACTTTGTGGATTGGTGTTGGACATATGGGTTAATGGGTTATTGTTGGACTTGTGGGCTTAGGCAGCACTGGGTAGTGAACTCTCTCTCATATATGAGTTTCTGTGGATTTGTTTCTCTAAGTACCCAGACTAACACAGCACTTGTTGGTAGGTGCCGTGGAGTCAGGGTCCATGCAGACTCCTGGTGAGCTGATGTGCCAGAGGACAACGCACCTCGGCGCCCACTCCACCAAATTCAGAGCCTTGCCACCCTCTGCCCTAAAGGGTCCCTCCCTGTGAGTGGGAAGGCCTCCCTGCACACACCAGCAGCAGACTTGCTAGCATACAGATAAAAAGAGTATATCACAAAAAAGAGGAAAAGATCAAATCATATATATGTGTTTCTCAACAGCTGATTCAGAAGGCGCTGTGGTAGATTTCCAAAGTGCATCTGTCCACAGCATAGCATCACTGCTTCATCCTTGCCAGTCCTACTTTCCCTCTTGTACAAGTAGGGGTTGTTTTACAACCTCCTTCACCGTCTATGGCTCCCAATGTCCACTGCCCACCTGTCCATTCTCCCCAGGCTGCACACCGAGGGCTCCTGAGAAGTGCAGGTGTGGGAGAAGCGGGCATTGCAGAGGCCAGTTGCCCCTATAGTGCTTCCTCGAGGCAGCTATGAAAATAGAGTCACCTTCACCCACCTGCTCCGGCCTCTGGGGCCAAGCATGGGAACTGCATCATTTTATGCTAAAAGCCAGATGGCTGCTTCTTTTAAGGAATCATCTTCTTAGAATGCATCTTGAAGCCCAAAACACAGTTAAAAACATCTGAAATAATATCGGATGCATCTTTGTGTAAATTGCTTTGCTCCACGACAGATCCCTTATTTGTTACCATAAGCACGTGTTTCCCCCAAACTTCCTGTTTTTTAGGTGGATCGTGAATGGAGAATTTGGTCCAGGGAAGGAAAGTCACATTATTGAAGCTATAAACAATGGCATGACTATGGCTTTAATCTTTTGAATAAGGCTTTGTTTCCCATTGACCAAAAGCTTCCTAGAGGAAGGAAAGCTAGGAGCATTCAGGAAGGATTTGTATTTTATTTTACAACAGCTTTGTGGAGGGGGAAAATCACTTGGAAACCCGAGACTCCCTTTCCTGGTCAATGGACCTCAGAGCACACAGCCTGGCCCAGCTTCGTCTGGGGTTGCAGACGATTGCTCCCCGCCCTCTGAGGACTTCCTGACCCCCATGCCAACTGTGTTTTGTTATTGTTTTACTGACACCAACAGACCTTTATCCTGTGCCTGTATTTCACATCTTCCCAGGACATGACTAGGAACAGGTGCACCCAGTCTATTTACAATTATCGACATGGATCCAAGATACACCTCCCCCACTCTCTCAAAAACAACAACAAGAAAAGCATTACCCAGATAGTCATAAGGGTTACACAGCGTGCTGAATGAAAGTAACTTACATCACATGTAAGAAATGTTCAAAAGGCAAGCATTTTGTTTTATGTTTTTTTAAAAAAAAACAAAGTTTCCCTCATAAATCTCACCAAGCTTATGTTGTGTACTCCATAATTCATGAATCTCTTATTAATTTTTAGAACACATAATGGCAATTGCAAAATAAGTTACCACTCATCCGTTTTAAATAAACTTGCCATTTATTTCTTCCCTGGAATTGTATTTTCTTTTACTTTGCTAGTTCACACAACTATCATTCCTTTTTACAAAGAAAATGAAATCAACTAGCTGAATCAATTTAGTGGGGTGGGGTGGGGCAGGGGCCTGTAGATAAGAGAGGACAGTTTAGAACCCCCCAAATGCAGAGGTGGTCTTGCTCCTGCATGTGGAATCTGTGCCGGAGGAAGTCCCCGGACCCAGCCTGTCAGGCCCGGCTGCAGAAGTCAAAGGGGCTTCCTGGACACTTGCCCCTGCCATGATTCTGAGTGATATCATGCTCATTTATTAATCCCCAGTGAAGGGAGAAGGCCACACCCCTCCTTATGGCCATCAGCCCTTAGGGCTTTTGCCTTAGGTATGTGTCTGGGGACGAAATTTAAATATTAAGTCACCCGGAGAATCATTTCAGGTAACAAGCCCCAATTACCGCTCTGCTTCTTAAGTGACTTGCCAGAGACAGAAGATACAGCTGAGGCTGGGCTCTGGGCTTTGTTAGCTGTAATCAGAGATGGCATTGCTTCTCCATCCCCACCGTCCCGGGGTTTTACAGCATTACCTGTGCTGATGGGAGAGCCAGTCTCTCACTGGACTGGTGATGCACTGGGACACGAGGCTGAGCCTTGGCTGGTAGACAGGATCCACGATCAGTGCTTTCCAACACGATGTGCTCTTTGTCTCCATCCAGGGAAGGTCTCCAAGTTACTTCCTTAGGAGATTTTAAAAGATGTGTCTAAATTAGGGTGTTTAGACTTTGGAGTCTGGTGATCATTATGAATCATCTCCATCCTCCCCAACCCACAAATAAACATACTTGTTGGCACATACAATGTTGCGTGCAACATCAAAGGGTTCACGGATTGATGCCTGGAGACCCCCAAGCTCAGACCAAGGGTATTGCTTGAGGCTTAGCTACTTTTGACACTTCCAACAGTCAGTTCCCTGTCACATATCTCCAACACATTTAGGAAATAATGCTAAAATAAGAAAGGAAAAGGGAACGGTTTAAAACTGTGGTTCTCAACCTGTGGGTCGTTACCCCTTTGGGGTCAAACAACCCTTTCACAGGGGTTCGCACAGTAGCAAAATTACAGTTATGAAGTATCAACAAAAATAATGTTATGGTTGGGGGGGGGGGGTTTTCACCACAACATGAGGAACTGTACTAAAGGGGCATGAGGAAGGTGGAGAACCACTGCTCTAAAAGATAGCACTTTCCACAAACACACAGCGGTGGTTCTCCTTTGCCTGAGCAAACCTTGAACTGCTGCCCGCAGCTGCCCTCAAGTTAGCGCCGAACTCAAGGCCTCAGAACAAACTGCAGCCCCGTCCGGAACCATTCCCGAAACCGGCTACCATCAGACCGTTGTGATCCAGCAGGTTTTAGGGGCTGATTTTCAGAGTAGCTCTCCAGTAGATCATCTTAATTTGGGAGCTCTGCTGGAAGTTTTCAGCATCGAGCAACATCCAATTCTTGGTGGCTAAGCCTGAGATACACTGGCCGGGAACTGAACCCAACTCTTCCACATGGAAGATGAGACCTCTCTCTAGCCCTGAACCACCAGGAGCAGGAAGCACCAGCTTTCTTCTTCACAATTCACACTCCAAGGCCTCTTGTTTGTGTTAGTAGGGGGCCTGGTGGCATGGAGGCAGGTTCAGCATTGGGCTGCAACCTGCAAGATCTGCAGTTCAAAACCACCAACCTCTCTGCATGAAAAAGGCAGAGATTTCTACTCCGGTAGTAAAATTATAGTCTCGAAAACTCATGAGGACAGTTCTATCCTGACCTCTAGGTCTACGACATCATCTCGATGGCAGTGAGGTACATCCGTAGTCAAGAGATAGCGGTATTTTCTCTGTGGGCAACAATCACTAGGCTTTTTCTTTGCTCGTTGTATCTGGAGCCAAGAACTTTGCCTCTGGCTTATTGATGAGAGCACCATAAAACTCCCTTGCAAGACGTTGAACTACCTTGTAAGACGTTGAACTACCTTACAAGACATTGAACTACCTTGCAAGACGTTGAGCCACATCAAAGAAACAAGCACAAGAAACTTTACTTTAAAAAAAATAATAAAATGTAATATTGGGGCCCAAGCCAACACTTACATCAAAGAAGCCACCACAAAAATGTGAGACCCCTAATAAGACTGAGCTGAGACCTGACCGACTCCCAAAAACTAGCCAAGCCAACTAAAGCGTAGAAAAACCCAATAAAACTTAACTAAAACAGTGAAAACGTCAAAAAAACTAGCCAAAATGTCCATTTAAACCCAGGTAGAAACACTGACCTTTAGAGAGCTAGAAACCAAGAAAACATCATCTCCTGCTCTCTCCAACTCTACCTGGGTGAGTACACAGATGAGGCGATGCTGATTGGAACTATGGCGCTAGTATGAAATGTGTAAAGAGTATTGTTTTTCTGCCTTAATGCTCATAGTTGTTACTCTGCCCTTATGCTTATAGTTGTTTGCCCTTAGTAGTTTGAGTAATATTTTAGATTGTTTAATGTGTGTTTGCAGTAAATAAACCGAGCATTCAAAAATGTCTAAAAGCGTTAAGTAATTATCAATCACGCCGCTCATAACACTTATTTCAACTGCACGAGATAAATATGACCAACTCATTTCATAGCTAAAAACACCTAGGCTCATGGAACAATCTTCCGATGGCCACACAGTTGGTAACCAGCAGAGATGGGGTTTCGACCCCATCTGTCTCCAAAGGTCTAGCTCTTAATAGAGCAGGAGAACCCATACCTACTGGAGACTCTGAGCCACTCTTTTCTTTCTCCCAGAGCCACTCTTTTCTTTCTCCTGGAGGAGGGCTACAGCTATATAAAAGCACACCTCCTTAGAGAGACATCTCCAGACTCTGACCGGCATGGCTGGAAAGAGTGGGCCTTTCTGCCATCTCACTTTAGCCGACTTTGGCGTCCTCTGCTCAGGAGAAGCTATTTCTGCC